AAGTTGAAACTTGATGAATAACAAGAAATCCCTGCTCAAGTGTTTTAAATGTTATCTGTTGTACATTAGGCTTCACAGAGAATAAAGGGTTCTGCTCAATACTCACCATTCTGGAGTTTATATGTTCCAAATTAAAGAAACAGAGACGTAATTAGTCCTTTTCATTTTTTGTGTTATTTATGTTTAAAACAGATCGATGTAAACAAATACATGCAATAAGCTATTTCAATGTTCTAACTTTTTTTGCGGTGTGATTTGGATAAATAAAGGCTACAACACAGAAACAAATCTTTTTTTTTTTTTTTAAACAAAGAACATCAAAACAATGTACTGTATATATACATATATGTGGGGTCTTGTGTCAATAGATATGAAAAAGTTGGCCAAAGTGCACAAGCGCTGTCCAAAAGACTCACCACTAGTATTTTATTCTGCCTCACTTTCCAGACACTAAACACTTGGCTGCTGTCAGACTGAGCCAACAGAAACTTGATATTTCATGTTTCGGGGGGGGGGGGGGGATGATTTTCTCTCTCTCAGCTACCAAGAGGGGGAGACACAGCAAAGCTCAGAGGGGTGCAAAGCAGGGAAAGAAGAACAGGTGCCCACAATTTCACCTGTCTGTTCCACAGCCCACTCTCCAGCAGCTCTTTTACAACTATGCTATAATTGTAGCCACATTTACAGCCCTTTCACTGGGATGAAACAGCGGCAGAGGAGAGGACTAAGATGTCAGTTCAAGACTTGAGACCATTTCATTGTTTGAAATCATATCCTGTCATGGGATGACACATAACATGGCCACAAGAATAAGTAGCCTTCATGTGGATGTACTAGAACCATACTGAAAAGAAATTTAGTATCAACAAGCTAAACTTATTTAAGTTATTTGGCCTGCAGCCTGATAATTCCAGAGGTTACTGAAATCTATAGTATTATTAGCAAAAGTAGCTGCTTTTGTGCCACGGCACGGGGCAGCAAGCAGATGGACCGGTATTGGTGCTGATGATGTGGGAAGGGACTCGCAGGTCAAGAGACACAGAATAGTTCAGCAGGCACATGTGATATATTTAGTGAGGCCATTGTTTGTTTTATTTAGGGAGCGAATTGAGGATTTTCCAAACTGCAGGGCCCCTGAGGTATTTTATCAGGTGTACAGTCCAACATATGTTACACATTAGTGCACTGAAGGGAATGCTGGTTGCAGATACAATCCATAAAATGTTTGGAGATTGGAACGTCAGAGGACAGGGGGTCGACAATCACTCTCTTCAGAGCTGGTGGATGTGTAGGAAACACTTATATGCAAATGAAACTGCATCAGATTTCAGCCTCAATTCCCCCTATCATTAAAGAAAATAAACCTGAGGAATCTTTTGGCTAGCAGCAGGTCCTCAGAATATGAATGTTTACGAGATACGCATTAAGCGATGAAGCCATTGGAAATAATGAGAGGAAAAAACAAGGCCAGTTAAGGCCTAATATTTCTGAGGTTTTCGAAATCGAGATTAGCCTGTGCAGAAGACAGGCCGCTTCAGGCAGATGCTGAAGGTGTCCGCTGACTGCACAGGGCATTATGGGACCTAGGCCAACAAGAAGGCTGACAGAGGGAGAAAGAGGCATCTGTGCTGGTGGAAAAACAGTTGAGTGTAGTCTAAAATGCAGCTCTCAATGAATATTTAACCATGAAACAGCCATTTGTCACTTGTATGTCTGACTGCAACATCTTATGGGTCATGTTGACTGTGGTCTGTGAGCATGGCCTAAGGAGCTCCAAATTTTGCAGAATAACCTCTGCATGGGTCCATCTGAGAAGCTTTAAATGTGGCTCTGTGCGTTGTTCATCCATTAACAATCATGTTTGGTGCCAGGCAGTAAGTATGTGTATAAGCTGTAAGCCTGTTTTGTATTCATTCATTCTGATGGGGAAATGAAGAGACTTATAAGACATCCCCACAAAAATACAGGTAGACCTTTTTTTTCTTGAAAAATATTTCGAATTATTAATACATTTTCTTTTTTTTTATTAAACACGATTTTAATTTATTTTAATTTGGATTGAATTGCATAAAATGGAATAAAGAAAGAAAGTATCACACTTCATTAAAAGCAATAGGCCTATTATACTTAATAATTGAATTGAGAAAAAATTCAAATCATTGAAAATCAAAACGATCATTTCACGTCCGAGCAGCCTACTTCCATTCATGGCAGCAGAAAGTTGTTGGAGAAGGCTGAGTTAGTGTAGTCCGACTCCATTAAGCAGACTCGATGGCAAATTGCTGCGTTTGGAAAACATAATCATCAGAACACATCATTGCTGCAAACGCCCCTCCCTCATTATTAATAATAAAGAGAGAAACTGAATCCAGGGCTCCGATGTTTAATTTATAATTACGTAAGCTTTTTGAAGGGTGATTGTATGGTAATTGCTCATTAGTTTTGTATATTTATCGCTGCACCGTATGTCAAGGCCAAGGGATTGTGTAGGGTTCATGCTCTCGTTTCAGGGATCAATTTCAGAGTCAATTTGTGAAACGGGACAGATCAAGTTAGTCTGACGTTGCGTTGTTGCAAAGAAGGCTCACAGGTGCCACATCATGAGCTTTTTTTTTTTTTTTTACTCTGACGAGATGTTCTTAAATGTAACTATAAAGAGCAGTCCAAAGGTTCCAACAGAAAACATGTTGACAAATGATCCAAAGCCGTCCTTTCAAAAGCCACTTCCCCTAACTTAAGAGATCCCAGTCAGATCAATTATTGACCTTCAGTCCTAACACGGAGCCTGTCCTTCGCCTGCTCCCTCCCTCTGCCACTATTCACATTAGTGGTGTCAGCGGACGTAATTATACCTACTAATTGCAGATTAGAGGTTTTGGGTCAGTGGGGTCACTTGATAGGAGCGACTACTCTTTTCAATGACGGATAATCATTCCACGTTGAAGACTAAATGTTTCATGCAGCGGGGCTTCGGTCCAACATGTCCAAATCGGCTCGCTCCTAAATATTGAAGGAAGAATCAAACAGTTCGGGAGCTGTGATGATTTATGGAGAGTTTGGCCTCTGCACGGAGCGGGGCAGCTTAAGTTTAGATAAGTGGGTCACAAAAGGTCCCCACAGCTGCTCCATAACGCACAGCACGAGCGCGTGGAAGAGGGGTGCGATATGTGACGACTACATAGATTCCGCTGTTTGGACTGCGGCCAAATTAATTATTGCCCGATTCATGTGAACTTGTAGTCACTAATTTCGCTTGGTCGCCTTTTAAAAAGCGCCAAGGTCTGAGAGCAGAAAAAATAAAATAAAATAAAAATATGATCCGAGCTTTAATGGTGCAATGCTTTTTCTCTACGATAACTTTGACGGATATTTTATTTCTTAGATGACTACCTTTAATTCAAATGTTTAAATAGAAATTTTAATCAAATTGTAAATATTATGGTTTTTGCCTTTAGAGTAAGAAGCCGCATCAAATGTCGACTATTTTATGTTTGTAAGAAATACCTGCAAATTTCCCAGCCCGAAAATTGTTTTCCAGACTTTTCAGAATCAGAGGTTTCTATTTTGAAAGAAAGTTTTCCATGTTAAAACGAAACGCCTTTAAATGAATCATATTGTGCCAGTCTCTAATGAGAAGCCCGTCCTGTTTCCCTTGTGTCCATACAGGCGCACAGAGAGGGGGAGTGCGCCAAATTTGTTTGCGGCGGATCAAGGCTCACCGCCTCCACTGCACTTCCTTTATCTTAATTCCAACTTGAAAAGATATAATTATCTAGTTTGAACAGGACTGCTATCAAATCCTTCTTTAGAGGCAGGGTAGGGAAAAGCTCGAGTGGATTGTGAAGCTCTGAGCCGCTCGGTGTTGCCCGAGATAGGAGTAATGAAGTTGTGGAGTCCGGAGATACAAAGGGCATTAACCTCATTAGCATGAAACCTTTTCTTCTAACTATTGTGGGACCCTTTCAGTCCTCTAATCCCCCCTATTTCAAAGCTGGGTTTGTAATAAAGCTTTTAGGTTTTTTTCCAAAGCTAATGGTATTCTCTAAAGATTTTTATTGCTGTTATAATCTATGGGCCGATTAAGAATTCCCTAAATGCCATGCCCCCCAACCCAAACAACAAAACAGCTCCTTTTTTTCTTCATGAAATATAAATATATATAAAAAAAATGCCACTGGCACCATAAAACATGAATTTAGGCTTGTTGTGGTTTTACATGAAAAAACTAAATAATCCAGTCACAATGTATCTGTTTTGAAAAACGGATTGTTTTTGTTTTTTTTGATTGATGGTTTGTTTTGTGCAAATAAGCAATCATATCCTGCTGGAAAAAGCATCTTTTTAGTTTAGTCTGCAGGCTCATAAAGAAGCTGTAATGTTCCCGTTCAGTCCAAAGCAGCAGCTTGCAGCATGATGGAGCCTACAAGACAAGATTTTAAACAAAGATCCCATTTTGCGGCGCATTGCAACCTTCTCTTATCGCTTCGTGAGGGGTAGTCAGATTGTACTAAATTATGTCCAACCAAGCCCCTTTGGATCCGTGGATTAAGAGATTAAAGTGGACCACTGGGCACTGCATCCCCTTTCCCCTCATATTACTCGCATGATAATTGCCTAAACTGATTTGCACTTTCACAAAAGCTTGTAGGGGCTCTTTGTAGCTGGAGCGCAGCAGACGCTGCAGCCCCTGAAAATAAAACTAATGCGGTCTTTATCACACTGAGAAACAAATGCAGGACTGAACAACAAATTATGTGCTGCACTGCTGCAGCATTGCTCTTTCACTCCCCTCTCTCTCTCTCTTTAAATTAAAGCAGAGTCCAAACATCAACAAACCTTTGCGCATACACTGCAAATTATTCTTTTATGGCACAACGCAAAATACACCATCGCCCTGAAAGCTCCTTTTCGATTGAACTGATTTCATTCAGCTGCTCTATTAAAGAAAAGCCTATACTTTGACTGCGCGATACATATTGATAAAACTTTATTGACAAAATATTGACAATTACATACTTCTTGGAAGTATATACTTTGTGTTAAAATTGTAGCAAACTTAACACAAACACAAAAATTATTTACATTCTGTAAAAGAGGGTTTAACAGAAACATTAATTTTTTAGCATTTCTGTACATGGAATACGCTCAGTGCTTGAAGTTTTTTTTTCTGTCTGAATTGTTGCATTTAGTCCTTCGTGGCAACTTTCACCGCAGGGTCAAGTCCTGACAGAAGGCTGCGTGGGGCCGCAGCAACACATTGGTAAAGCTTTAGGTTAAAGGAATGTCCTGATTTCTTCCCTTTAAGTACTTCATATGTGGTCGGATTCAGTTTTCAATCGAAATTTGTATGTTTAAAACAAAACACTATAACGCAGCACCGCTACTTCATATGTTTTCACAATCACTTTTACACGAGAATCATGAATTAAAGACTGCACACTGTGTAAAAAGGAAATATCACGACATATCTCAGTTTGAAAATAGAGTGAAAAACAATATTGTTATTTTTTCTTCTTTGTTTGAGATAACGTGTCAAATTAAAACAACTACCAGGAAAAAAATATTCCATGCATTTCAAGTTTTAAAAAAGCTGTTTGGTGTTTTGGTATCTTGAGTGGAAACTTGTTTTCTTTCTTTTTTTCTTTCTTTTTGTTTTTTTGCTAAAAACCTTCTGAAGTGCAAACGTCCAATATGAACTGGAGAAAAAAGGTGGTGGTAGATTGCAGTGATGGAGGTTTGTACGTGGAAGGGATCAGGTAGTCGGACTGACTCTGTCAGTCACTTTTCCTGGGACATTTGGAATGACAGACCCACTTGGTGACAGCAGGGCCACCAGTCCGGGTTCTCTCACCCTCAGCTGCCGATCTCCGGATATTAGAAATGTGACGTTGGCTTTTTACCCTCTCACTGTCTGTAAGTGGCCTCATGTATCCACGTCTTTCTTCACTCAGGCGCTTATAGTATTTTCTAATCGTCCGAAGTGACATCAATTTCCTCTGGGCTCGACTGTTTAGTCGCCAGTCTCCACCTGTTTATGTGATGCGATCCCTTCTTCTTCTGCTGAGACTCGGAGCCCTCCTCCTCCAACTTCTGTCGCTTGAACTTCGTCCTTCGGTTCTGAAACCACACTTTTACCTTAAGAGGAAAAAAAGAACAAAAAAAATGTATCAGTTTCGCACGATGAACCGCGATTGGCCAGCGCGTAAAACCAAGTACAAAGGGGACACATTGTTTGGACCGCAGGGGGAAATAAAGGCAGGCAGCGGTCCAGCTGAAATAAAATGTTAAACTGTGACCTGCAGCTGATGATAACAGTGCAAACTACCTTTAAAATAAACAAATAACATGTGTATTCTCAGAAAACATGTCCTATAAATACAAAAGCAAATAATTGCATTTTGACTGCACCATAGCTCCCTTATATTTAAATGAATTGAGATTCTAATATCATCCCATTATATGTCATTCAAATAATAAAAGCTCAACTTGTAGTTTACAATTTTTACTCCACTATAAAAAAAAAATATATATTTTAGAACTCATAATATCCTCCTGTTACATGACACTCAAATACCGCAAAATAGCTCAAATTGTAGTAAGGTATCTTTTCTAATCTATGTTTAAAGTTTGGAAACTTTTGATTCTCCCCTAAAGTAGGTCATCTTTTTTTTTTTTTTTTACATTTCAGTATTTTTAAAACAACAACAAAACATAAAAAAACATGGCATAGAGTCACACGCATGTCACATATCTGACATGTGTTTTTGAACCACTCCTCTAAATCGACTTAGCTTTGTTAAACGGTACCGTGGGGAATTAGCAACATCTAAATCGATAAATTGTCTGTCCGTCCTTTGTCACTCTGCAGCCCTTTAAGTGCTTAAATGGCAACTGAGGTGAATTTAATAAGCCTTCAGTGGGTTAATTGAAGTAGGTGATGGTTCATTTCTCCCTTCAGTTCCTCCAAAGGCCCCGCTGTCCAAAGGAGGTACAGCGGACAAAAGACAGCGTCTGATGGGCTCAAACAGCACTTTAAATATGGCAGGGGGAATTCACTGAACCCGCCTCGCTCTTTGTATCGCCTATCCCATAAAATGGTTAACTGGTTAATTTGCCCTCCATTTTGAAAAGCAACATTCTCCCTCCAAAACAAAGTAATTCAACCCCTTCTAAAATGAGGTTAGACCTATACAATGACAGTGGATTTGATCCAACAGAAAGCCTCTGTCTAAGAGTGACAACATGCATTTATGGAGCATGTTGTGTTGAAACAATTCGGTGACTGATTATTTCAGATAATTATCTCATTAATATGCCCTTTATTCATTGCCATGCGTTATATTCATTTTATAGCGGTTCCGTTTTAAATGTGTTTTTACGCACGGTGCCACGTTACGGGAAAAAACGAGAATATTGAACTAAGTCCACAATTAGCAACAAAATGATAACCGTGTATTATAACAACCAAAATAAAATTCATTTTAAAGCCAAAGTAGGCCTGTTTTAACAGCCAGGGAAAAAACAACACACAGAGAAACAATCGATAGGTCTAAAAAAGAGCTTCTGGGACAGGATGTCAATTTAAATGTTGATGAAAATATCGTGTTTCTTACCTGAGTTTCTGTGAGGCTAAGGCTGTGTGCGAGCTGTTTTCTTTCTGCTCCCACTACATAATGGTTTTTCTCAAATGCGTGTTCGAGCCGTAGGAGTTGCGAGGGTGAAAAAGCTGTCCGGATTCTTTTGGGCTTTCTGGCTAGCGCGTTGTGCAAAAGGAAGCTCTCCGGACTCGTTTCATTACCTGGAAACCAAGCAGAAAACGAGGGTCTGTAGTGACTTTTCAATATTACAAGTTAACATTTCTATGAGAAACAGAAGGCCTCCACACAGGTGATGAATGCGTCAATAGTCGGCTAAGGGCAGTGGAAACATTTTCTATAATAATGTCCTCATGTTTGAAGAGAAGCTGGGTATCAGTCAATAATAAAGGTGTTTAATGGGGACACATATTCTTTAATGACTGTTTCTATGCGCTAAATTTGTGAGACCACCGCATGAAGAAGGAAACAGCACAAAGCTGCAGGTATAATCCTTGGCCTAATTCAATTAACAAGAAAAAAACGTCCATTGTAAACAAAATCAAATGTAAAATTCAATCAGCATCAAGACGTTTCGACCACAATCAAAAATAAATAAATACAATGAATTTCGATTGATTCTTTAAAATATAATTTAGCTTGAAATAAAGAAATAACCAATGACACAACTGTAATCACCATATATTGTGCGTCCTAAAGAAACAATTTTTTTTTTCAATGAAATGCTAGTCCAAACATCCCGCAGGCCAAGTTAACCTGGTAAATCAAATGTAGATCACTCCAAATACGACTCATGTCAGCCGGAGAAAATTAGCAAATGGCAAGTTAAATTACCATCTAAACAGTTTGATTTTTATATATATATATATAAATATATATATATATATTTGCATTTAAACAAAAACGAAAAAATAAAAACTCGGGGTCAAAATCTCAAAGACTCTAAGGATCGTTTCTACAGCAGCGCAATAGCCTTCATTAGTTTCATATTTACTATGCATGTACATCATATACAACCTGCAAGCATTCAAAGTACAAATAAATGTCACATTGTTTGCCCCAAGTAGACGTGCTAAGGGCAAAGAGCTACAAAGGCCAAGTTAGCACTTTTAATTATTCTTTTCTTTTCTTTTTTTTAAATGAAACTTTTGTTATTTGTTTATTTTAGCGGACACAATCCTTTAGATACGTGTTTGTTTCTGGACATAGAAGTTAGACTTCTCATACAGTATATTTATTATTTCATCTCTACCCTGAACTCTGTGAAGATGGAGAGAGAGAAAAACATTGTGATCGATGTGCAGCCGCTCGGCACTATTCATGCGTAAAAGTGAGTCTACCAAAGCACTTTGATAGCTTACCTTGAAATCTATGTCCTAAGTATCTATATCTGTGTAATAACCAGGGGTAGAAAGTTGATGGGTCCCTTTGCTGGCTGGCAAAAAGAGGGTGCGGACTGTGCGAAGAGGAAAGCGGGTGAGCAGCCAGAGCGTGCGGTGGGGCGACCGAATGCACCGGGACGGCGGAGTTCTGCTGATGGGAGACCGCCTCGGCAAATACCAAGTCCGGGTTAGAGTAGACGCCCCTGCCGCTGGAGTGGAAGCCGTTGAGGAAGGGGTTCATCTGGCCGGAGTTTGCATAGCTTAGAGCCGCTGGCCTGATGGGCTCCTCGGAACGGGACACCGGTATAGGATTATCCTTCGCCACTAAAGACTCTATCGTAAAACACCTCTTGGGTGTAGGCTGAAACATGGTCTGATAGTCCAGATTCCCCAGCTTAAGTTAAAGTTGTATAGGCTCAGTCGCTTCAAAAATACTCCACGCACAAGAACGGGGGAAGTTTGTGAGCAGTTAATAAGTTTGGAAAAGGCGTCTGTGTCAAGAAAGCCAGAATAAAATAGTGCTCGGCTACTCCCAGACTAATCCATGGATGTGATCGTTTTCCTCGCCGGGTTCGTGCAGGCAGATTTGTTAGTTCATGAGCCTAATTAGCGCTGCAGTCCCATAAACAGCTTCCTCTGAAGGCTGTAATGGCATGGTGATTGGTTGCTGCCGCTGCTGCTCGCCTTAAGGTGGAGAAGGGGAAGACGCTTAAAAAGTGCGTCAATGGGAAACAGGGGCGCGGAGAGGCGGACTGAACGAGGAACACGGAACGGATTCGTCCAGAGCAGCCCCCTCACGCACACGCACACACTCACACGCACATATCTTCAGGACATTTAACACACTCATCTGAACCAGTAGGAATCTAAACCAGTAGGAATGCTCAAGGTAGCCCGACAGGTTCAAAATATTTTAAAGGCTGCGCGTGATTTAAGTTAATACTAACAAGTCATCACTTTGAATTATTCACAAAAATGTGTAAACATCAATTCGGCTCTAAAAGTCTATTTCATGTCTGTGCGCGCGCGCTCTGGCTATTACGCACGAATGGCTGTTGATCATTATGTATTTTTTTGTTTTGTTTTCCAACGAAATTGTTTTAATGAAATTGCAATAATTTAGTCAGTGCTCGTTTTTGTTTTCCCTCAGATTTTATTGATTCTATTTTATTTTTTATATTCTATCGTTTGGGAGAAACTCTTCATTTCTGGGGGATATGATATGGCCTTTAGGAGACACAAACGAGCTTTAGATTTGTGTGAACTTCGTGGTGACAGTCTTTAAAATTAAATTCAACAACACATTTCCCAGTGATGGGTGGCCTCGTCACTGTTGTTCAGATGTTTGTTGGCGTTGAAGCTTTGACTGTAGTCACCTGTGTTAGGATGTGTTGGTGAGAGATCGTGGCCGCGCGTCGAGGGCCTTCATGTAGGAGATGATACACTTAACAGCACACGGAGCGACCACTTTAAATGATGAGGCCTGGGTGTAGCTCTGTTGTTAAATGTGCTTGAATGCATTAATGCCGTTATTATACTGGTTTGCGTTTTTTGAGATTGAATAAAAATGTTCATTCGAAGTTATTATCTCATTAGATGTTGGATAATTGAAATTGCCAATGACACAGCCTTGTTATTGGACTGAATAGCATTAATATTACACTAACTGTTTATTCTATTATTGTTATAATTATCATTAATAATTAAATTTACGGTGCTCTTATTAGGCCTATTTCCAGTTACCCCTCTACTAGGCTATGTGTTGTCCACACGAAGCCAATTAACTTGTTAAGCTTAGGTGTTGGTAGGTTACGATTCTGAGGAGTAATAGGCTAAACACACAGACCAAATGGGTTGTCACAAATATGCAAAGTGTAAGGCAAGTAATGCGCCTCATTTTACAATTCCTAAATGTTCTGATTCCAGAGCACATTGTTTAACAACATTAAGTATACGGCTACTTGGAGAAATAGTCTACATTTTCACTTGTAGCAATTTGTAGAATTTTATTGTACGTCTACTAATAAATATAAGTGTATTTTAATTTTAATCAACCATGTGACACATTATTGTTCAAGTAATATTATTGTAAATCCGAGTAATATATCGGTTCCAGTCAGCCAACTGCAATTTCATTAACGCTACTTCAAGTAACAAGCACTCTTTAAGAGAAAATACAGCATGGTTGAGTTTCTCTCATCTCAACAGCGTGTGGGTCGTTAACCGTCGCACTGCCAACTGACCGCAGCCTGCAGTTTTTATCACACTGAGTGAACCAGCAACCATCGCTTGCTCTCATATGAAGCGTGTCTTCCCACTCCACAGTGCTTTACCGCTCTCTAGTGGTGAAATGACGGTAGTGTTCTTATACGACACCAAAAGCAGCATTTGTTCGGCCGTTAGGGTATCTAGAGTGCAGAGATCAACATGTCATGTCAACACACATCAATGTCATTACTCAAGTTTGCCTGATGTACGGTACTTGGAAAAAATGTCAAATTCTAATAAGGGTATAAAGCGTTTCAGTTATTGTCCTCTAAAATAACTTAGCTATATTTGAGGAAGGTTGGGAAACCACAGCTCCTGTAATCCCATCACAACTTCTGTTTATGTAGTGATTCAATAGTAGGAGTTATGACTTACAGGTCTATGATTTATGTACAGAAGATTTAATTGAGACCAGTGATTCTGCAATACTTAATGATGAAACAGCATTTGAGACTCAATGACTCAGTAGTTGGTGGTGAGCAAACATCTTTATTAATGAAGGCTTTATCTGTACACATGCAAGCTGGTTTTCTAACCATTACTGCAGTAAGATAGAACCACACATTGGATATTAAGCAGGATCAATTGAATACTCTAAGCATGAACATCAAAATGTAGATTCCACTAGTTCTTTATCAGGTTAAGAAGCATCTGAACGTTAGATGAAGAGTAGAAATTATTAAAACGTGAAAAATTCCAAGTCATTGCCATTACAAGAGTTGTGAGTGTGAACCTTACGATTGTATCTATGCAGAGGTTAATTATTTAAATGAGGCATCTGGTGATACAATTCGTTTGCATTGAAAGCTGGAGCAGGTAAATTGCTTTATGATAATCCAGTTTTACTTCAATATCTAAGGAAAATACACTCATTACCATTGGGGCAGTCATGTTTTCATTGACGGTTTTGAAGGCCTGCGAGCAAGTTCTTGGTAGATGTTATCTTAGGTGGTAAGGAGCCTTTAGTTGGAAAATGTTTAAAGTCAAAATAAGGATGAAAGGGGGGAAAAACTACCATCTACAAATAATTGAGGATTTACTTTAGAGTGTCAGAAGTTTGTTGCCAAAAATTCACCACTGTGGATAACCAGCTGATAAGATAAGATACTTTTTTCTTCTCTTCAAAAACCATCCATCATTAACCAGGCAAATTGGATGCACAGGCTGTTGGCTCAGCGACGGACAGTGGTCCAGCCATCATCATCTGTTTCGTTCTTGATACGACGAGGGTTGTCTTTGTCGCCACCTCGCCACCCCTTTTCTCCATCAGCATCACGGTCAGGTTCCCTCACCCGCTCTCTGGGTCGTTCGGCTCTGTCCGGCTCCTCGCGCTTATCATCCCCTCCACGACGCCAAGAACCTCCTGAGGAGACAAAGTTGCTAATTATACCCAATTCAAGAAGACATATGTTAATCCAACAACTCAAACTTTGGTGCAAAAGTCTGAAGTATGAAAAACTTGGTGGTTCTTTTCTTGAGTTAGTTGCTTTGAGCTCATAAAAAGAAACCTCCATTAGCTGAACAGAACAACTCAACAAATTGCTCTGCTTGAAAAGTTCACATCTCCTTTAAATGATGTGTTCTATTTTGTACCTTAGCATCTAATGGGTGCTCTCAGTACAATTGACTATGCACAGCTATAAACTGCAATACAATGAGGAAATTACAAATATCATGCAAGTGTGCATGTATGGCGCTTTTCTAGTCTTCTGAATACTAAAAGCATGTTTTACACTACAGGGCACAACTACCCATCCAAACACTGATGTCAGAGGCTGTTATATAAAGTGTCCATCAGTATTAGCTAATCAATCATACACATTCACTGGCCGCAGCATCAGCGTCTGGGTTGCAGTAGTAGAGTATTGGCCAAGGAGTTGGAGATCGAAACCTTGACCTTTCAGGCCACAAAAAACTAAATGTATATTCCTTATGTGTATGTAATAGTTATGCTTTGTAGAAAATATGTTCTAATTACCATCATCAGGAAGTTCTCTTGGTGGGGCTCTTTGTTCACGGTCATCCCGGCGGTCTCTATCGCGGCGGTCAACCCGGCGGTCTTCACGGTCTTCACGGTCACGACGATCAGGTTCCTCTTTGCGAGAATCTCTCCACCCACTTCCTTCCTCTGTACCACCTCTCCTCCAGCTACTCTCCTCTCTGTTAACACGTAGTAACAACAATATAATGACTTTACTACCTCACTGACAGGGTAACTAAATACTTTCCTCTGCATTCAACAATAGTCATTTTTGGAAGCCTCTGGCAAAGGTCTATCACACACTTTTGTGGAGGACGGTCTCTGGGAGGCTCGCTTGGTCTCTCCTCTCCTTCACCATCATCTCCTTCCTCATTAGCTTCACCACGGGGTGGACCCCAGCTATCCTCTCTCGCCTTCTCCCGCTCCCGCCAACCACCTGGAACAGAGTCATTCTGTGAGATATTGCATTTAAACAAATAGGAGCTGTGAGCTCTGATTACGAAACATTATCACTTATCAGCAGCTCAAAGGCTTACCAGGTCTTCCCAGGGGCTTCCAGGGTTTGAGATCCTCACCACGACGTGGCCCATCATCCATACCTCTCCTTCCACCTCTGTCATCATCTCCGCCTCTTCTGGAACCCCAGTCATCATCAGCCCCACGCCTGGGACCCCTCAGGTCATCCATGCCTCTACGGGGACCTCTGTCCTCATCAAATCCCCGTCTGGGGCCGCGGTCCTCATCAAATCCACGCCTGGGGCCGCGGTCCTCATCAAATCCACGCCTGGGGCCGCGGTCCTCATCAAATCCACGCCTGGGGCCGCGGTCCTCATCTCCACCTCTTCTTGGACCGCGGTCATCATCAAAGCCTCTGCGAGGTGCGCGGTCTTCGTCGATTCCTCTGCGCAGAGGACGTTCATCCTCACCTCCACGACGAGGGCCTCTGTCATCCTCAAAGCCACGCCGGGGTCCTCTATCATCTGCACCTCTGCGAGGAGCATCTGCTCCTCTTTTGAAGGGGACCTCTTTCTCCTCCTTGTCATCTTCACGGCCCTCCTGTCTCCATTCCCTACTAAAAGAGAGAAAACATTGTCATAGTAGCCCCTCATGATTTAATGGGGATACCTATAACAGATAAGCATCACATACCTTTCAGGAACAGAACGACGCCATTCTGAATCACCTCCTTCTGTACGCTTTCTCCATCCTCCCTCCTCTTTCTCCTTTTCGCCCCAATCCTGTATAAGCACATCAGAATGATCAAGACGCAAAGTTAGATCACATGAAATGTTGTGTCAATGTGCAAAAAAGAACATGTAGTCCATTATGCTGCCCCTGGGTCCATGAACTTGTGACAATATGTTTGGCTTTCCTTGCGTCACACTTTCAGAATAATCACAGTATTTTATGACAAATTGCTATATTTACTATGTTACTATAATGTCAATGTGTTTAAACTTGACAAGACC